TCTATTAAAGTTTAAATCTATCTAGGTAACTAAAGAATTTTGAATCAATCTAAAGTTGATTCTGAATCTATTTAGTAAATATATAATTGGATTTGGATTCTTACATCGGGCATATACATGGATGTCTAAATTACATCCCTTAATAATAAATAATTTTTTCGGCAATTAGTTTGTCAAAAGTTTTATTAGTGACGAAATTAATTTTCGCAGTTGCAAAAATGGATCACTTTTACGTATATAGGTGACCTCATTAATAAATATATTACAGAGAAACCTCTCTAAATGCACCCTCTCTAAATGCACTCTCAACTTTCGGCCCAAGTATATACTTGACTCCTATAAATGTACATTTTCTTATTGTTCTCTAAATGCACTCTCAACTTTCGGCCCAAGTATATACTTGACTCCTATAAATGCACATTTTCTTATTGTTCTCTAAATGCATGTTTTTAGAAGTTCGGTCCCTATTGTGTGCATTTAGAGAGGTCTTTCTGTATTAACGTTAATAATCAGTTGATTTTAGAATAGTGTAAAAGAGATCCGCAAAACTTATTGGTAAAATTATTTGAATTCCTTATACGTAAACGTATCGGTATCACTCTTCAATTTGCAATCAGTTGTAACGTGATTGTGTAAAAAAAATTGCCACAAAATTTTTTACTACGACGCGCCATTTTTATATTAAAATACAACATAATTGAGTTCTTTTTAATGCCATGTTGATAGAGTTGTGACCCTCAAGTTATTAGTTAATAATAAAACATTGTTAATAATAAAACAATTATTAACTATTATTTATTAGTCTAGTGGCAATTATTAAAAATTACAAACATTATGCAGTTAAAATTATATTTAATATCAATTTATTATTGCTAACTTTGGCATTTATTATTAATATATTAATAAATAACTCGTGATTTGAAACAATATTAATTCCCAACACTACATGTTGATTCTGCGATTTCCGAATAAAGAATTCCGTAAATTTTTTAAACAATGCTAATTAAATACCGTTGGACACTGTCCCATTCCTATTAAATACTATTGGCCACTGCTCACAATACCCGAGTCTCATTCAAAACTTATGTAATATTAAGTAATATATCTCTATGCGATATGAAATAACGTTAAAAATCGATCGATAAATTAAAAACCAGCTTTAATTCAGGTTGAAAATCGGGTTTTTTAATTATCACTTAGTCGATTGAAACCTTTCATTGAAATTTAATTTAGTATATATAGTTAAATAATAATTTAGTGAAACCCTTTTCAAACTTGGTAAAAATTTTTACTTTACAATAAATCCAGAGATTCATAATATGTAATTGGTCAGAATCATCTGCTTCGCTCCTGACAATATTTATTAACACACTATCAACAAAATTACTACAAAACCAATTAATACTTATTTTTTTTTTTTTTGCACATATTTATTTATATTAGATTTAAATTGTTCAAAAAATGTTGAACAGGATCCGTTCAACTATTATTATTAAAAAGTAAAAATTAAATAAAGATCTTTTTCGTGATATTTGTCATTAAGTATTTGTTCATACTTGGTGCAGAATAATCACTTTCATCAAAATGAACGTGATCAGTGGATATAATGACAATATCATTATGTTCAGCATTGAAAATACTATTACAAATAATAATAATAATACTAAGAATGTAATTATCCCTAATATTTCATAATCACCTGACTATCTCAAATAAATCAGCAGCAACAACTTCATGAACCTTAGAACTCCAATGTATCAGATCCCAATAAAAATATTTTTCTGGAGTAAAGTATTCACCTTCTAAATCTCCGCTTATGGAACCATCATAAGGATTTATGAATTCATCCCTAACATTTTTAATCCCCAAATTCTTTTGAAGACTCGATTTTTTCGGTGATTCTAACAACTTTTCTCCTATTTTTTCCCAGTCCTGATTTAATGCTTCCTCTTTTAACGTCTCTATTTCATTTTCTGTATCATAACCATGTATGTTTATATGATAATATATCTTTTTGAGTAATTCTATGAAATTTTTCAATGCCCGGTTATGACTTTTACAGACTGATTTGATTAAAGAAAGTTGTTCTTCTGATTCATTTTTATGTAATGGTGATTGCGATAAATCTGGAATTCCAGGAATAAGGATGTGTGTGGCATCCAAGTGGTTGATCAATAAAGAGACGCAGGAGGCTATATTGGTGAGTATGGTTTTAGGGGAGACGGTATAATTTGATATGGTATAATCTTGTCCCATTGTCCACAACTATACATGTAAAAACAAATCAATTAGGATTAAGAAAAAATAAGATTTTTGAATAATGTTCCGCAACGAGTCGGCTCAAATAAACTTATTACGGAACATTATTTTTGAATTCAAGCAAAAAAAAAAAAGAATCTTACAACAAAAAGAGTTCGGTCACAATTTTCATATCTAGCTCTGCTTGAAATATAATTTTGAACTTGCTGTTTAAGTCCCGGAACGTCAGGTTGTTGGTTTACTTCTTTGTTGAGACTATTGCTATTTGTAAAAAAGTTAGATTATAATTTTCATTCACAATAATAAAATATTAAAATAAAAAAAAAATTACTCTGATGTAGCTCCGCCAAATGCACAATTGACTAACTCGACATCAAGCAGCTCGGCAAGATATTCTGACCACACTTTTCCATCACAGAAATGACCTTCAAAATTCATTGATGACAATTGACTTGAATTTGAATTCATCTTGTAGGTATTTCCCGTATCTTTTGGACAAAAGATGTTTATTATTATTTTTTAAAAAATATTTAATTGATAGTTTGGACAATAGGAATATGTATATTTTAAAAAAATTTAAAATTCACCAGAAAATGAATCACCAAAAACGACCAATTTGTCATATTTCCTGAAGGGTCTAGTATGCCTACCGTTACGCTGAAAGGTACAATCTAACGGTTGTTTAGAGTATTTAATTATGGTATCGATGACTGAATTGATTGTTAATTGTAAATTCATTTTCATAAATTTGGGATGATGGTAGAATTAACGTAATCAATTCTTTCAAGATTCAACAAGAATTTATCGGATTGACAAAATTATACAAGGGAATTATTATGATTGTAAAAATATTTTTAACAAAATACCGTACAAACAAAACGTAAAAAAGAATGACTGGTAAGTATGCAAGAACGAAAATCGATCTTTGCTTGAGAAAACTATTCGAGTTGGTCGTCGTCGAAAACAAAAAAAAAATAAATTTTTTTTCTTTGATAAATTTACTATTATCGTTTCATCTGTTAAATAGTATTTACGAATGCTAATATTAAAGCATCATCTATTAAATAGCATTTATGAATATTAATGTTAACGCATTTACATACAGGCAATCCATTATGTGTTACAAAATTTGTTGTTTTGTTTGTATGCGCATATCAAAAAAAAAGATTCATGCAAAGGCGATGTGATAAATATCATAAAAAGGACCAATAACATTTGTATTATTATTGAACGCGCCTTAGGATAACGGTGGATAATGTCAGGGTAGTTAAAATATATTTATACACATTATAATTCGTTTAAATTCTTGAACTTTGCATCTTTCAAAATTTCTTTGTTATTAGAAAAAAGTAATAATTGGTAACCACAATACGTTTAGTTATGACATATCAATATTCTTGTTTAATTACATGTAACAGATTAATTGAACCGGTTGCCTATAATCAACAAATTGGTCATACATTTCTTTT